CAGGCCATATGAGTCGCGCTGCCTCTCCGAAGGAACAGGATCCTAACCCCTCGAGGGCCCTATTGTCGTCGATCAGGACGCACTCTGCACGATGTCAGTGCAGTCTGACTTGTGGGGTTTGGATTATTTAGACTACATACTTACCTTCGGAGCTCACGGTGGTTGCAGGCTCGTTTATTTTCCCAAAGTGGCCATGTGTTTTTGGTCAAGTGAGCATGTAACTTTCCGTTCTTGCTGCTAATTATGCTGGGACTGCGCCGCGAAGCAATGAAGTTTATTCCATACACATCTGTAGGTAAGCTGAGACTTGAATTCCCTGTCTACAAGAAACCAGACTGCGCCAAAGGAACCTGCCGACCGTCTCCCATGACCATCCCCATCCACCCATTCAACGCCGTTAGAGATACGCATGTGAGGAGCCCTTGTTAATGTTAAAACCCAAAAGAAATGCAAAAAGCAGTTAGCGTGCCCTACCATTACGTCCCCAAAGCCTGTCAACCCTGGCCCAACAAAGTTCCATTCCGACAGGTGATTGCTCTCCTCAAAGTTGTGCGTACTCTCCTACAAGCCCGTAATATATCGATACTGTCGCTGTTTGATGTTTCTTAGGGAGACTTTAGGGAGAAGACCTCCTTAAGAACGGAGGCGCCGATATCTCGACAAGAATTCTAGGGCTCCTGGTTTACAAAATAATATCCATCATCTTCCCGCACAGGTCTTGCACGGGCTTTGCTTGTCCATCTGGGTTGGCTGTCAGTACAATGAAGAAAGCCATTATCTGTAGAGCAAATGGGGAGGATCAAACTCACATTCTAACTTTGCCATCGTCACCACAAGATGCCAACATTGAAGGATCATCTGGTTTCCAGTCCACAGCATTGCATCGAGGACGGTGGGCCTGTAACCGCTCAACCACACCGCCAGTTACTTTATGCCAAATGAGGATATTGCCATCCTCACTCCCGCTGATGACAAAGCTCTCGTTTGCACCACCTAGGGAGCTGCGAATGATGTACTTTCCCCCGGTATGACCGAGGAACTTTTGGACTGGCTGCCTGGTCGTGAGGTTGATCAGCTGTGCCTCCCCATCCACTCTATTGACGAGTAAATGCTGCGAGTCCTGGCTTATGCAGATGGATGTTGGGCGAGTTTCGAATTTGATACTGTCGATCAACTCGCGGGTGATGGCGTTGTAGAGATGAACCGTCTCTTTGTCATCTACCGCGACCAGCCAACGGCCGTCCGGGGACCCACAGAGATCTTGAACACGGTGCTTCTTGTTCCAGTCGATGTATTCATCGTTGTGGACGTTGTAAGTTGTAAGGCTGCGGTTGATATCGAGCGTCCCGATAATGTATGACCGCCCATCGTTTATCCAAACACATCCTATGGCCGGCTCACCATACCTTTGAGACTTTCGTAGGGGTTCCTTATGCTGTCGGCTGTTAGCATGTACAATCAATCTCAATAGTTCTAGACCCGCTGCTTACTTGCAAGTCCCACAACCTGGATTGTTTGTCTTGTGAACATGTGACGATCATGGAGCTATCAGGACTCCATGAGACATTCCCAACCCCGCCTCCATGATGCCCGAGGACCGAGAATACGTTGAAGTTCTTACCCCAAACGAAAACATCCCGAGCGCTCCCGCATGCTGCCAGCATCGATCCGTCAGGCGAGAATTTCACTTGCCATACCTCGCCATCCAAATTACCCAGCTCAACGGCGCACTCAGTTGGGAAATTTTCTCGACGACAAGAGTGGTCACAGTACAGTGAGGGAGATAACGGTTCCGTGTGATATAGACAGGAATTAATCTGCGACTGCTTGACTTGTTGAAGAAGTGTAGCAAGGCGGTTCTCCGGCAGCATGACTGACGGTGAGATGCATTCTGTATTCAATTAGCTTTTGATCATAAATGGTACCCCCCAGAATGCAAACTCACTCGAAAGTTGTGATAGCAATATTTTGCGAGACTCCCCATGAGCACCATCCCACTTGGTCTTAGCTTTCAGTTCGGAAAAGGAGTGACACATTAATAAACTAGACAGAAAGTGTAGTTTAGTCGTGTCATTGTATAATGGGGTCAGCTCCTCGCGGAGCACGCTGAGTGCCTTGGTGGTATTTCGCTGCTCCAACAGCTCCAAGAATTTCTGCTGTCTAAGCGAGCAGCGCATCGTGGTCCGGTCTGAACCCGATGACAAGACCAGTCCATTCCCTGGACGGCTAGGGGTCTCCGAATCCGAGGCCCCAAGCAACAGCTGCTCGGCCTGGGCCCAGGAGCCACTGAGCACCGCTGACCTAAAGGATGCAACTGTCGGGCTTTCTAGTACGTAGCCGCTATCCCGAGACACACTGCCGGCTGCCTCTTGGTAACCCAAATCTGATAAAGCTTGGATGAGAAGTCTGGTGACCTCCTCGCGATTATGGCCAAAGTAGGTTGAAGAGCGCCTTTCCCCATTTGACGAGCCATTCATGCCCAGCCCTACTTTATTGTGCCCATTGGGCGCACTGATCTGCGATGTGTGCTGTGCGCTGGAGCCAGCGGCACCGTTGGGGCGAGTAACAAGGCCGCCATTTGAGGGGAGTGCACCATCGCCGTCGCTCAACATGGTCATGTGCTCTCCCCTTTGGCGTTTCGGGTGAGGCTGTTCAACCTCGCTTGGGGAGGGAGGGTCGATGAGCGAACGGATGTTGATGTACCCCGAGGCAGCAGTCCGACTGTCGGACGGGGAGCGCCGTCGTCGCCCAAGAACCTGGGCTGGGGGATTGATGATGTTTGGATAGACGGGAGCCGCGGAAGATTCTATATTCGCAGAGGCAGCCGCTGTCCTGGACGCGGGATCTGAAGATGGCGTAGGTGCCGGGTGACCTTGTGCGGAGACGAGCCTGCTGGAAGGTACGGGGGGCAACCGATGGAGCGATGGGTCGTCGTCGGAGGCGTGCTCGGGATGGGAGCGGGTTGGGGATGATGAGTCCAGATCTGCCTCTTCGCGGTAGGAACCGCGGTGGAAGTGAATGAGGCTATGGCGAAGCTGGGCAAGAGCCTGTGGGAGATATCATTCAGATTTCTCGGGTCCAGTTGCGGCTGCTACGTCAAGGGCAAGCTCGAATCGTGGTCGAGAGCGGGCAGAGACCAAGCGTCACAGCAGTATCGGGCCAAACACGCAGCGAAGTACGGCGTAGGTGCTGAGGAAAGAGAGGGGTTGTTGAGGGGGGCCTGAGGCGTCGTCGGTGCTAAACGGATGGTGTTTGTCGTTTGTGGGAGGAGGAGGGTTGAGGTATCTTGCTTTGAATCACTTGCATGGGATTAGGTGGTGGTGACGGGTGGTTGGAGGAACAGTTGAGCCGATTGCACATGCAGCTTTCCAGGTGACCATCGCTGGCTTCGGCAGTGCAGTAATAAATGACCTCACCTCTAACGCCATCCGCTAATTACCTATTTGGTAGGCAGGCCCAGCGCTCTGTTGGCAGATGAATCAACAGCAGTTCAACTGAATATTGACGGAATTACAAATACAGAACCACGAAATGGTTTCTTGTTTACGTCTCATTATGGTTGCAATTATCAATCAAATAACACCACTAGGCCTGCAGTGTTGTATTTCAGCTACTTGCCGCCCACTGTCGCTGCAATGGATGCTACCTACTGTTGGTGGACACCAATCGCTATCGATCACTGATAAGAGTGCCCTTGACCCTTTGGGCACTGCTGCTGCACCCGATGGTACAAGGGTCTGGATATGGAAATGCTCATCCGGAGTAGTTTGTAGCGATGGCTCTGAAGACTAGCAATTAACTGAAAAGCGTCACCCTTTTGTGGGAAGCTGGCGCACGGTGTAAGAACAGAAATGTGTTGACTGGGCTTCATGAGGATGGAGCTTCCAACCTTTACGCTAGGCTTGAGCTGCGGGGGATTGATGCGAGGTTGCTCCAACCTGGTTACATCCCACAAAGGAGTAAGTATGGTTCTCAGGTCGCCAAAACGTCCAATCACTCATTTTAGCCGGTTGGGTATTTTGACTTGCATATTTGGGTGGCATATTGTCAAGATTCTGTTGACAGGAGGAGTACCAGGTAGGTGCATGGAACAATAGCGAACGGGGAAATAGCATATCCATGCCACCACTTGGAGCTTATCAGAGGACTGTGATAAAACATTAGCAGGTTCCTCCTTCCGGATTAGCAGTCGTTTCACATTCCAGCATAATTAAAAAGCATAATCTAGATATTTCGAGAGCGGACCAGGCGCATTGTCACACACGTATTTGCCTCCTTGTGACAATTTCGACGAATCCCTAGCTGCTGACCTAAGTGAGACAAAATTTCGGGGTAAGCCTCGCCCAGGCACCATTATAAGAGATATTGGGCTGGCCGTCAGTTCGTCAGCGCGTGACGTTGCTCTCCCAGGCTTCTAGATTCTAAACACCGTTCAAAGGCGGTAAGTACCGTAGGTTGCTGGGAGATAAGATAGCTTGGCAAATCACGTGTGATCATTGCTAGCATCGAAATCTCCAAATCATTGGGAAATCCAGGGTGAGTTGCGTGCGTCGGGAGTAGAAGCTTCGCCACACGTGGCTGGAGCTGAAGGGACCCACCCTCGACCGCCAGCAACCAGGGCACCGACGTAACTTGGCTGCTAGGTTAGGCTGAAGATATAATACAACAACTTGCGAGAGCCCCCTCCTGACCTCTCCCATTTTTCAGAACATCAACCTCAGGGTATGACACCCTCCTAAGCTGCTGACACTCCTTGTTCGACGATACTGATCAAAGCTCTAGCCGTTCGGTAGCGCATACACCCCCAGCTTGCTTCCCACCGCCGCCTTTTGCGCACGCCAACACTCAGGAGTTCATCCCCGACCCCTCGGTCCCTTGTCGTCATCCGCCTGCTATTCGAATTCTGGCTATTGGCCGATCGCGATACAAACGAGCCCATTTCTTGGGTGGAACAAGGGAGACACTACAATAGTTTATACGCTTAAGAGCTTGTCGACACAATGAGCGGTTCGCTTGTTACGACAGGGGGCATCTCCGACCCGGCCCTCATCACGTTCGTGACAATCCCCCTTCTCCAAGATGATGCGCTCTCCGATAGCTGACCCCCCATCGCAGGCTTGTGAACAAGCTTCAAGATGTGTTCGCCACGGTCGGTGTCAACAACCCAATCGATCTTCCCCAGATCGCAGTCGTTGGTAGCCAGTCGAGCGGTAAGAGTTCCGTCCTGGAGAACATTGTGGGACGAGACTTGTAAGTCGGATGGTTTTCTCAACTCCTTGTTCCGTATCATCTAACTCTTCGTCCAAAGTTTGCCTCGAGGATCAGGAATTGTCACCCGCCGACCGCTCGTTCTCCAGCTGATCAACCGCCCTGCTCAGTCAAATGGGGTCAAGCAAGAAGACATTTCCACAGCCACGGACAAGGCTGCCAACGCCGACGAGTGGGGAGAGTTCTTGCACATCCCTGGCCAAAAATTCTACGACTTTACCAAGATCCGAGAAGAGATTTCGCGAGAGACTGATGCCAAGGTTGGACGCAACATGGGTATCTCAGCTGCCCCTATCAACCTACGAATCTACTCTCCCAACGTCCTGACATTGACTTTGGTGGATTTGCCTGGTCTTACAAAGGTTCCTGTCGGCGACCAACCTCGAGACATTGAGCGACAGATCCGTGAAATGGTTCTCAAGTACATTGGCAAGTCGAACGCTATCATTCTCGCCGTCACAGCCGCAAACATCGACTTGGCCAACTCCGACGGTCTGAAACTCGCGAGAGAGGTCGATCCCGAGGGTCAGCGAACTATTGGTGTCCTCACCAAGGTCGATTTGATGGACGAGGGTACAGATGTCATTGATATTTTGTCGAACCGAGTCATTCCTCTTCGCCTGGGCTATGTCCCTGTTGTCAACCGAGGTCAGCGGGATATCGACAACAAGAAGGCTATCAATGCCGCACTTGAGGCCGAGAAGAACTTTTTCGAGAACCACAAGGCTTACCGAAATAAGAGCTCGTACTGCGGCACACCATATCTGGCGCGAAAGCTGAATCTCATTCTTATGATGCACATCAAGCAGACCCTGCCTGATATCAAGGCTCGCATTTCCAGCTCGCTTCAGAAATACACCACCGAACTAGACAGCCTGGGTCCTTCGATGCTGGGCAACAGTGCCAACATCGTGCTCAACATCATCACCGAATTCACGAACGAGTGGAGGACAGTACTGGACGGTAACAACACTGAGCTATCTAGCACTGAACTCTCTGGTGGTGCCCGTATCAGCTTTGTTTTCCACGAGCTGTATGCAAATGGTGTGAAAGCTCTCGATCCTTTTGATGTCGTCAAGGATGTGGACATTCGCACCATCCTGTACAACTCTTCCGGTTCTTCCCCTGCTCTTTTCGTTGGCACGACCGCCTTTGAGCTTATTGTCAAGCAGCAAATCAAGCGAGTCGAGGACCCAAGCTTGAAGTGCGTCTCACTGGTTTATGATGAACTGGTACGAATTCTGTCTGGCCTTCTCAGCAAGCAGCTGTACCGCCGTTACCCCTCGCTCAAGGAAAAGATGCACACGGTCGTCATCGCTTTCTTCAAGAAGGTTATGGAGCCTACCAACAAGCTCGTCAAGGATCTGGTTTCTATGGAGGCTTGCTACATCAACACCGGCCACCCTGACTTCTTGAACGGCCACCGAGTAAGTCCCGAAGCCGACGGATATTTGTAGTCACAGCTAACATTTAATAGGCAATGGCGATTGTAAATGAGCGCCACACCCAAGCCAAGCCTGTGCAAGTTGACCCTAAGACGGGCAAGCCTCTGCCTGCTTCTTCTACCCCAGCCAGAGCGGCTAGTCCTGCTGTGCCAGACACTGAAGGTTCCAACGCTGGATTCTTCGGAAGTTTCTTCGCTGCCAAGAACAAGAAGAAGGCCGCTGCCATGGAAGCCCCACCGCCAACTCTCAAGGCCTCAGGCACTCTATCTGAGCGTGAGAACATCGAGGTTGAGGTTATCAGTACGTTGAATTCATCCCTTGATCATGTGCATTCAGTATCCAATGTGACATCCCAGCTAACAAGCTTAGAACTGCTCATTGCCTCATACTTTAATATTGTTAAGCGCACCATGATCGACATGGTGCCCAAGGCCATCATGCTCAACCTAGTCCAGTATGTATATTACCTTGGAAAGTTTGTGATTTATCAAGTATGCTAACGCAGTTATTAGATTTACCAAGGATGAGATGCAGCGCGAGCTTCTCGAGAACATGTACAGAACTGACTCGATAGATGAGCTCCTCAAAGAGAGCGACTTCACCACCCGAAGACGGAAGGAATGCCAGCAAATGGTCGAATCCCTCGGCAAGGCGAGCGAAATCGTCAGCCAGGTTCAGTAATTCTACGCACGCTGCTCGCCAGGTGCTGGGCACACTGAGCCAATGCCAAGCGAACAATCGCATCCCTAATGGTGGCAAGCGGCAACAAGTCACAAATCTTTTTTTGCGCCACTAGATTGTCTCTTATAGAGAAGAGAGCGGCAACGAAGATGACGACTAATGCATCCTCTCGAGAGGCACGACGAGGCGTATGATGGCGGAGGCTTTGTATGGTGGGCGGGTTTCCAAGGCGTCATAAAGATTTGTGTCAGTGGTTTGAGTCGGAGTTTTATACCTTTTCACCCCAGCTTTCTACCATGCCTTCTACACTTGTGGACTATATCCTAGATCAGACCAATTCTTCCTATCTTCTAAGCTCCCTACACACCCAGTGTCATTCAAATGTACCCCCTTGATACTTATATATACATATACTGTTTAATCTCTGTGTGCTTGATCTATCGTCTGTGCCATTATCAACCTACAACTTGGACGTCATTTGCTTCTTCCATACTAAACCCCCCTTGGAAACATCGTACTCCTTCCCCTTGGACCAGCCAACCCACTGCCGCAGGGCCTCCTCACCACCCTCCCCAGCTCCCAAGGCAAAACCCTCGTACCCATCACCTGGCGTCCCAGCTCCTTGGCCATGAGTGCCCGCCTGCCCTGGGCTCACACCCTCCGCCACCGCCAGGCACGGCGTCTCGCGCAGCGTAACCGCCGGCCGCTGATCCCCCTCCCTCGCCCCTCCCTTCTCCAGCTCCTCATACTCCAGCACCGGCACGCAGCACGCATCGGTCCCGTCAAACACGGCCTCCCACTCCGCCCTCGTCCTGCTCCGGAACCGCTCCTCGAACAGAGCCCTCAGCTCCGGCCACCTCGCCTCGTCCGCCCGGTCCTCCTCCCAACCCTGCCCGCCCAGCCCGAGCCCCCGAACGAGCTCGGCGAAGAACTGCGGCTCCAGCGCGCCCACCGACATGTATTTCCCGTCCTTCGTCTCGTACGTGTCGTACCACGGACACCCGCCGTCGAGCACGTTCCTCCCGCGGCCCCGGTTCCCCATGGGCGTCTTGAGCGCCAGCCGCGGGAACGTGGCCAGGTACGAGCTCCCGTCGACCATGTTCGCCTCGACGACTTGGCCCCGGCCCGAGCTATTCCTCGAGAGGAGCGCCATGAGCACGCCCTGGAACAGCGTCGCGCCGCCGCCCGCGAAGTCGGCGAGGATGTTCCACGGCGGGTGCGGCTTCTCCCCGTCCCGGCCCAGCAGGCCGAGCACCCCCGAGACGGCGAGGTAGTTGATGTCGTGGCCCGCCATGGCCGCGTACCTCCCGTCCCTGCGGAAGCCCGTCATGCGGCCGTAGACGAGCCGCGGGTTGAGCTGCAGGAGGGCGTCCGGTCCCAGGCCCAGCTTCTCCAGCACCCCCGGGCGGAACGGGTCGATGAGCACGTCCGATTTGGACACGAGCTCCCTCACCAGCGCCACGCCCGCCGGGTCCTTGAGGTTGACGGCGATGGAGCTCTTGTGCCTGCAGAGCATGTCGTTGGTGGGAGGGGCTTGCTCGCCCGGGGTGTGCGTCTGGCCGGGGACGGCGCGGTCGACGCGGAGGACGGAGGCGCCGGCCTCGGCGAGGAGCATGCCGGCAAAGGGGCCTTGGAGAGTGAGTATTGTGTGATTGCATTAATGTAAAGGGGGGGATGAGATACCTGGAGCAAGACCTGCAAACTCCACGACCTTGATGCCTTTCAGCGGAGGTGGGCCAGCCATGATGAATACTGGTCTTATACGATGAATTTATAGATTAGACAAGAGGCAATGAGACGACTGGTTGGAAGACGTGGCGATTGAACGTTTGCAATTCTGGCAATTGAGGTTTGCGATGCTTAAGAAATACATCTAGTATTATAAGATGGATGAATGAGCTCTCATCCAGCCGGTAGGGTGAGGTGAAGTCGATCGTCTATAATCCATCAAGATGCCGAGGGAAGGAAGATTGGAGGTGGCGGAATTGAATAGCCGTATGTGGTAAAACCGAGGCTTGGGAATTGTTTGTTTGGGGAAATTCAAGGTTAATTTGATGCGGGGGTTATTGGAGATTGCTGCCGCCACAATGAACCGCAGCCACAAATTCCGCCACTGTCAGAGAGTATGACAGTGGTATGAACTCCTTATTTTGTTTCGTCGTTTTACTTGCTGTACAACATCAGAAATGGTGAATTCGGTTTGGGGTAGGTGGCCTTGTAGTGCCAATATGTCTAGCATCTACCTCGGTCTTTATCATATATCACTGTAAGAGGATCATCAGGTAATAGCGACGTGATGTGATTGAAGTGAGCAACCAACACTATGAAACAAATTCGTAATTCCGTCACTGACAGTCCCGTTCCAATCAACCCGCAGCGCCTCTAAAAGCTTGTCTATGTAACAACTGGCTTGGTCGTCGATGTCATCAGAAAGCAAAATAAAACAGGTACCTAAGAATGCAATGCCAGGATATCCCAAAAACACCAAAATAACACACGCTAAATCATGACAGCTTAAGCCTTGGACCACCAGTCGCCCTGGTCGTGCATGGCACGTGCGACCTTGACGAAGCCGGCAATGTTGCTTCCAGCAACCAGGCTGGGAAGCTCGCCCTCCTGGGACTTGACGTAGGACTTGGCAGTCTCGAGACCGTTGTAGAAGGCGTTCTTCATGATGTCCTTGAGCTTGTCATCAACCTCCTTCTCGGTCCAGGGCAGACGTTGGCTGTTCTGGGCCATTTCGAGACCAGAGACGGCGACACCACCGCAGTTGGATGCCTTTCCGGGGGCGTACCAGACAGCCTTGGCACCCTTCTCGCGGCGCTCACCCTCGAAGACGTCAATAGCCTCCTGGGTGCAGCCCATGTTGGAACCCTCAGCAACGGCGAGGACACCGTTCTTGACGAGGACCTCGGCCTCCTCCTTGCTGACCTCGTTCTGGGTAGCGGAGGGCAGAGCGACGTCGACGTTGCCGACGTGGACCCAGGGTCGGGCACCCTCAATGTAGCGGAACTTGCTCTGGTGGTCGAAGGCAGTCAAAGCCTTGCGCTCGACCTTGAGGCCGGCAATTGTGTTGATGTCCTCGGGGGTGAAGACGTTGTCGCCCTCGGCAATGAGAGCACCCTTGGAGTCGGACAGAGAGACGACCTTGGCGCCGAGCTCAATGCACTTGAGGGCGGCGTACTGAGCGACGTTGCCGGATCCAGAGATGGCAACACGCTTGCCAGCGAAGGTACCGTTGCCGGAAACCTCGAGCATGTGCTCAACGTAGTAGACAAGACCGTATCCAGTAGCCTCTGCAAGATGTTGTTAGTACCTTTTTCTAAACAAACATAACTGAAGAGCTGAACTTACCAGGACGGATCAAGCTGCCACCCCAGGTGAGGCCCTTGCCGGTCAGGACACCTTCCCATCGGTTGCGGGCCTGGCGGTAGGCACCGAACAGCCAGCCGATTTCGCGGCCGGAAACACCGATATCACCAGCAGGGACGTCAGTGTCGGCACCAATGTGCTTGCTCAGCTCGCGCATGAAGGACTGGCAGAAGCGACGGATTTCAGCGTCGCTCTTGCCCTTGGGGTCGAAATCAGCACCACCCTTGCCACCGCCCATGTTAAGGCCAGTCAGGGCATTCTTGAAGGTCTGTTCGAAACCAAGGAACTTGAGGCTATGACCCACCCAGTCAATAAGTGGCCCAGGAATAGGTTGTGGTAACATGGACAGGGCAACTTACATAGACAGGTTGACGGAAGGGTGGAATCGAAGACCACCCTTGTAAGGGCCGAGGGCAGAGTTGTACTGGACACGGAAACCACGGTTGACCTTGAGCTCGCCGGCGTCGTTCTCCCAGACGACGCGGAACTGGATGACACGCTCAGGAACGGCGGCAACCTCGAGGGCGGTGCGGTACTCGGGGTGCTGCTGGAAGAGGGTGCTGTCCTCAAGGGTGCTGACAAGCTCTGAGAAGATATTCTTGTTAGTCGTGATGTGTTTCTTGGTGTTGTGCTAGCGTTGTTGGATATACACACCCTTGTAGGCCTGCTCGAACTCGGGCTCGGAAGGAAGGTTGGCCATTGTGAGTAGTGTGTGTAGGTGGTAGTGGTGTATAGGTAGAGGATGTCGTGTCGAGTCTTGGGAGATGTCTTTGACGAAGAGATCGACTTTTCACTCAGTTGGTTTGGGATAAGAAGAGAAAGGAAGAGAGACTCTGGTCGAGATGGAAGCGGCCCTTTTATAATTTGAAAGAGCAGGAATCCCCCAGTAGCATCTGCCGACCTCCTTCCCACTTCCCAGTCCTAGTCCCAGGCTGGGCTCACATCGGTGTTGCACGACAACAACTTTTGACAAACGATTGCCATTATCGTTTGCGGAGAGGAACGGAATGGCCCACCCTCCACCACGCTCGCCTCTGCCGTCGACTCGATTTCCGAAGCAATGGCTAGGGGGGGTGGTCGGCCGAAGAAGGGATGGACGACCGAGTCGATTATTGTGACATGAAAGCTTCAGACAACACTAACTGCTCAGCCTGTCGTCGTTGCACGGCTGGCTCGCTCCACCAATGGCGGGCGAATTGCGGGCCAGTGTGCCCAATTCCCTTATTCAGAAGATTTGCTGAGATGACGTTTCGGCAGAGATAAGACTGCCCCAGCGCCCCAGCTGTGGAAGGGAAGGGGGCCCGTTGTCGGTGCCAGACTCCAGAGATGCGGCCTCGCTAGGCGTGTGAGATGCCGCTGCTCCCAGCACCTCCAGCGCTCCCATAGGCTGCTTCAGGCCCCCTAGCAGCCTGGCCCCCTCACTCTCCCCCACCTCGATTTGCGTTACAGCGCCTCCGCGAGATGGTCCCTGCAGCTAACCATGCTTAATATCAAGTAATGGAAACTCAATTGCTGAAGCCAAAGGCCTCATCAACCCGAAAGCAGTTGCCTTTACGTTCCGAAAAGCACTCCACTTCATTCGTCTACCACGTTACTGAAGCACCACGCCACTGGAGAATCACGCCGCCAGAGACGCTCCCGCCGTGTTCGAGAAGGGGCTGTCGCGTGTTTCCTCATGAATAGCTGCGTCGAGATATATGTATGACGGCACCAGGCTGAGCAGAATAAGGCGGTCTTACTGTCCTTGCTATGGCTGGCCTGGCTTGACCTTCGTTCCTCTACCCGAGCACTAGACCACTTCCTGCCCGAACACGCGGTTAATGCGCCATGGCAAATTATACCACCTTTGCCTGAATCGCTTCTTCTTGGCCGCGGGCCACATTCCGTCTGGGCAGAGAGAGAGAGAGCCGTCATTTTGCGATCTCGGAGTCGACATGTTTTGCCTCCTCCCACCCCTCCATGTTCCCACCTTTTTTCGCACCACAGTCGACCGAACTTGCTTGCATTGCATCTTAGCCCGCGGGAGAATCTCGCGTCCCCTCCCCACCCTCCCCCAAGATGACATGGCCATGCATGTCCGACCTACACACATATATACTTGCTATCATCGAACAGTGACTTGATGTAAATGTGTAATACCTACTTTGCTCCCGTCCTCACCCGCCTACCGGTAGCGCGCCCCTCCTCCTCCGTCGGCCCTTCGACGGTCACAACGAGCGACACCACGGCTGTGAATCTATTCCCACCTTAGATTGATAAACGATCTTGGGTTAAAAAACGACTAGTCCCTCCGATTATCGGCTCCAGGATCGGAAAACTTTCAGAGAACTGAGTGAGATTCGGATGGGGAATTTGGTGCGACAAGCACATATTTGTCTTGAAAACTACCAAACTGTCCAATTCCACCGCGCGATATTATTTATTCCTTATCATTCATGGAGAAACGCCAAACAAATATATGCCTCGTCATCCCACAGCCCGCGACGCCGTCTAAACCAATTAAATACTCGTAATACTTGGAAGCAGCAAGGAAAGGATCAACACCAGCCCAGCCTGATCATCACCATATTGCTGCCTGGTCGGCGTCAAACCTCGATAGCTCTTTGCCCGCATCCTCCAAGTCCTTCTTCGCCTTCATCCGCATGTAGAAGATTGGGCAATCCTTACTGCTGCAGATCACCTCGCAGTGCATGCTGCCCTGGCATTTCTGGCATTGCGTCCAGAGCCGCCCAAATCGCACCTCGAGATCCGAAACTCGATCAAGCGTCTTCTTGTACAATTCGCCCACTCGTGGCGAGCAGTTGGAGCAGACGGCACCGCCGCTCTCCTCCTTTCCGGTCAAAGGCTTTTTGCAGCCCATGCATGTCTGTGTCTTCTTCGCAAACTTCATCAGGCCTCCGACGGACGGCGCTGCGACGGATATCGTTCTTGTGTGATCGCCCGTCAGCAGTGATCTCGCCTTTGTCTCACCCAAGATGGGCTCGAAGATACGAGTCAGCGGCTTCGCAAGCTGATTGTCGAGGTAGTATTTGGTGTCGATTGGCACATTGTTCTCCAGGACGTAGATCGGATCTTCAGACTTCTCAAAGTTCTTCGCGCCTGCTGCTCCTCTGATCATGACATAAGCCACACGGTCACCCAGTCCGGGCGCTGAGCCTGCGTCGCGCTTCTTCATACGCTGCGCAAGCTCGACGTGAGCCTGTTTTGCTGCGTACTGCTCGTCTGTTTTGGTGAGCGCCTTTGTAATCACAAGTTTCGACATGTCAATCTTGTTCTGTAGCAGGTCCGCCACAGTGTCTTTGACGTATCTGTGAAGTCTTGTTAGCACGAGTCTCTTCTCACCTTTGCTCGGTGTTGGCGTGGGGGTTCAACTTACTGCTGAGCTCCTGAGACATCCTTGTCGATCAAGATCATTCGCAGCACCTTTTCAATGACTGTTTGCACGAGCAAGCAGTTGTCTCGACGGACAGTCTCGATACCTTTGGTATCCATCTTGTCGTACTTTTCGGGTCTTGTCCAGAACAGCCCGGCGTAACGCTTCTTGTTGATCAGCAGGTAAGGGTAATACACCTTCTCGAACTCAAGCTTAATCGGCTTGACAAACTTGGACGAGACAAATTGCGCAGCCTCTTCACCCAGCTTCATGGCCTCAGCCAGGTCTTTGGTGCCGAATTTCACCATGACGGAATCAGTGTCTCCGTAGACGACTTGCGCGTCGTATGTGTAGCCATTTGCGATCGTGTACTTCTTCTCCACTTCCTCCTTGGTCTTTTCGATCATCTGGCGACCAAAACTGGTCGTGCTACTGGCGATCTCGAGACAGGGGAGCTTACCCGTGGTCGCACCCGTTAAACCGTAAACACTGTTTGCGCTAATCTTCAGAGCCAGCTGACGACCATTCAACACTGCCTTCTTGAAAGGGTCGGTTTCAACGGCAAGTTCTCGTTTAGCTTGCTTTCGAGCCGACAGCAATTCTTCCAAAATCTGAGCTAGGAGACCCTTTCTGTGCTTTATCGTCACAAAAGTGTCGCCGTTTGGAGTGACAATGTAGTCATCGTCCTTCTTGAGGTCCAGAGCCTCGATAGCTTGTTTGTTTACAAGAGTTGTGTAGCACAGGTTGTGTGCTTGCATGATACTGGGATACAGCGAGGCGAAATCCAAGGTAGCGATGGGCACGTCGTAGTATGCTCGGATGGGCTCAATGACCGTGGCACCTTCGTACTGCTCATCTGAGTTTTTGGCGGAGATGTTGGGGATCACCAGCTTTTGTTCAAGCGCCTTTCGGAATAGCTGACTGACGAACTTGATTTGCTGTCCGCGAGAGAGCAGGAAGTTGAATGGCACACCCGTGACTCTTGCCATTTCTGTGTAGTTTTCCAAACAGGACAGTTTTTCCATAAGCCTCTGAGGTAAATATGCATCTTTTAGACAGTAAAGCGCAAGACGTCGCCTTGATTCGGGTGTTCCGTTGAAAAGTTCGGTAATCATAGTGTAGTGGACATCCTCCTTTTGCTCTCCCAGGAAGTGGGCAGACACAGAGTTGAGGGTATAACTTCGAAGGTGGTGATCACGTTGAATGAGTTGGAGAAGATCAAGCTGCAACCGTCCATTGATATTGGTGCTCTTTGTGTCACGGTTACCCATCTGCTTGCTGTTGAGATTCTTGTCCTTGTGTACGGATGGCTCGGTTGGAATGCGAGTCCAGTACTCAAACCCAGGAACCTTAAGATGCTTGGCTCGATCAATCAAATATGGCATATCGAAATTTGCAATGTTGTAACCGGTGATGACATCTGGGTCAACCTTGACAAGAAACTTTTGCCATTCGCTGAGCAGCATTTCTTCCTTTTCGAACTCGAGGATGTGAGTGGCCACAATCGAACTTGTGGTGTCAAGGCAGAATACGTTCCGAACGAAGGGCTTTTTGTCTCCATATCTGGTAACGATATTGGCAATCTGGATGACGGGATCATGATTTGCTTCCGGGAAAATTCCTTTACGGCCGCAACATTCGATATCGAAGGATAGGGTACGGAGGGGGGCAATCCTGGCCCATTCACCTTCCGGTTTGTGTGCGATCAAGTCAATATAGCTGACTTCAGCCTCGATCTGACAGTTCGACTGTCGGCCGTGCTCGATCAGTTTGTAGGACTTGGCGGGGGCCTCGACCCACGACATGCCCTGAATCTGTTATGTGTAAGTTGCTATTCACAAAGTCAAAGGAATTTACATCCAAACATACCTTGCAGTCGACCATAAACCGAAGCACGTATTGAATGTTATCGTAGGTCTTAATTCCATCTGCGGCCCCGCTCCATAGACCCTTCCAGTTGGCTTCACCGCCCTCAAAGGCTGCTCGTACTTTGCCGATATGTCTTGGGTCGGTGACCGTGACTTTGAGGTATGGGCTGGGCTTATTGCCCCGGAATCCGTAAATATCTTCTCGGTTCGTCATCGCAACGGCGTGAATTATCTGTTGGGGGAGACCAATCTTCGATTCGAGAAAAGTCTTGAACGCTAGGCAGTCCTTGGGCTGGAATGACTGAGGAGCTGGAACATAGAGGTAGTGTTTGAAATCGGTGACGTGTAGCATGACTGAGTTTCCCTTGTCGTTCACACCAAACAACTTGACAGTGGCCCTGCCACCGTGCAGAGTGCCCTCCTCTGCTTCGATTGACTGGAAGCAGAGACTGTCTCGCTCTGGTACAAAGTCTTCCACTGGAGGTCGTTCCCATGACTGATCCTTTTCGGTGTTGCTCTGCTTCAGGGATGAAATATCTTGGCTGAGCTTCTCGAGGACTTCGGACTCGAAGACACTCTTGGGCTGACTTGACCCTAGCTTAAGATGTTTATTGTTCTGTGAGCTGGTGAACCGAGCGGCCGGTGATGACGTGAAGGGCTCTGTCTTGCGTTTCTTGACTGAAGAGGGCGTCGACGGGACATTCTGAAGGTTGCGGGACTCGCCCAGAACACGTTTTTGCGGAAGGACTGCAGTCGCCATTGTGAAGAGCTCTGTGAGAAAAGGAGGAGCGAATGGATGAGAAATGAGGGCGATGGCTCAATTACCAACCCATGAAGACAAGCGGATTAGCAACACTGAGCATGGAGGGTTGAGCAGGCACTAATGAAGAAAGATTGAGCTCCAGCACGTTGCTGGGATACGCGACTTGACGTGACTGAGGCGTCAGGACCCGCGTCGGAAGTTTAATGGGACCCACATGCACGTGATTTGGCGTCACCTTGCCGTTTCTCATCCACCACATGCTCACTGCAGCTGCAACCGTCTACTTAAATTTTATGGCCAGGCTTTCAGGAAAAGAAAACAAGGCGAACAACAAAAATTTACGGCAAGAAATTACACTTCAAATCGATTCCAATATTTGCGTTTAATTAATTTCCTTCTTACACATCGGGTATGCTCGCCCGAGTGGTAATACCTAGTCGTAAGATCTCTGGGGTTGACCCCGCATATTCCCCCCTGCCTCACCACCCACCACTAAACCACTGAAACCTACCTCCATACGATCTTGCCAGATCTTCATTCCCTCGAATGTTGGCAGCTGTTCGAAGTCATTTCTATGTTTTCTCAATGAGTCAGTAGATATTCACTGGACTGTTGTAAAGTTTGATGTTCTGGGGAAGATAATTGCTGCCAATCAGCCAAACCATGTGTAACCACATTGATACATAGATCGTTCAGGTAAGCCATGCATGTGAGAATAGTTTATCATCAGGAAAGCATAATAGAGTGAATTGGGAAGTAATTGGGCAATTGAAAACACATACTGTAAGATAAATACCAAACTAGACGGTGGCTAGTCTACATAGTAGGAGGACTCATAATCAGCGAGAATACGAGCAAGGATCACGACGCCAAAAGCAAAATGGCATCGGGAAAGTATCAGAGAAGAGAAGTCGAAAGGGAAAGTGCGGGAAAGTCAGTCCTTATTATACTTTCTTACGAGTATGCGTCGGGTTCTTCATCGAGCCAAATGCTACAACACCCTTGTTTCTGTTAGTAAGTCCATGCACGAGATGTTCCGCCAAGGCAGGGAGCTGCAACATGTCCATGCGACCATTTTCATCAGGCCATTCATTGTTCTCTAACTCCTAAAATACGTGGCAGGGGAAGAAAATTCATCCGAAGTATTGTGTCTCCTCCTTTCCCTGCTCCCGATATTACCAAAAAAGAAATACCCAGTCCTGATTTCTTCAAATCTATGTTATGCTCATGACGCCGGTGATGTGCAAGCCCGTTATCTACTCTCCAGTATCCCACCCAATATAATTACTGACCGTAACGCGATGCAGCACCAACATGATCTTCGATCTCCTTTATTATGGGTATAACACCCCATTTCATTACTGCCACTTAAAGTCATCACACCAATTGTTGACAGGCTAGGAGTCTGTTAGTAATCTTTCATGGCCATTTGAGTGGGAGAAGGTAAACTTACCAAGCAACTGAGGTACTTGCACCAGCTGCAGGTAGCCCTGGTAGTGTAGAAGTTGTTGATGAGGACAATGAAGACAACGATGACAAGAACCAAGGCTCCTGCACGAATCAGCCACCACGCCCACCAAAGTGGCTTTCTTCCCTTGAAGAAGCCGACTGGGTTCTTTAAGAAAGGCTGAGCCTCTTGCTCTGAGTCGCCTGGGACAGTTGAGTAGGCGGCATCATTGTCGATCTTGAGCCTCAGGGAGTTGGGCGAGTGTAGGACAGAAATGCCCAGGGTCAAACCGCAAAGGAAACCTCCCAAGTGAGCAAAGTTGTCCAGACCAGGCAGCAGGCCAAGAACGAAGGAGATGATGACATCGAGCAAAATAAACATCAAATCCTTCACTGGACTCTTTCGCTGCTTCCAGGAGTAGAGCAAGTCGAGCAGGGTCAGGGCCAAGATTCCGAAGAGAGCGCCAGACGCACCAGTCGAAGCGTCAACGGGGGGACCATAGTTGCCTCCCATGACGAACCCAAAGATGCCAGAACTAACGTAGACAATGAAAAAGCGGATGGATCCGATAGCCTTTTCCATATCCCTTGCAAGTGTCAACTGAAGCAACATGTTGAACGCAATGTGAATAATACCCGCATGCATGAACATGGGAGTGATGAAACGGAACCACTGCCTTGGTAGATCTGAGACTACCTCGCCCCATTTAGGTTGACCTCTTGCTGCTTCATTGAAACCACAGGCTTCCCACAAAGGACAGATATTATCCGAAGTTGTCGCATTTGGGCAAGGGAAGTTAACCAGCGTGCCTACGGAGGGCCGGTTCCCTTTTGCAATGTCCTCATCCGTCGGCCTCCAATTCTCGATCTCGGGAACAGGGCGCATACAGGGGCCGTAACGTGCACCCATGTTGATCATCACAAACGGCGATGGCCCGATCATAAAGTTAAATTGGGGCTTGAGCATAATGGGGGTGCCCGTTAACATGCCTATACTGAAAGTTAGCAAAATCTGAGATTTAATCAACCAAAGAGAGGGAATGACTCCACGAACCCATCTTGACAAGCTCTGCAATAAAAACGGCTACCTGCGCGATGGTGAAGATATAGACCACGAATGGTATTCTCTTCTTGTCGGATCCAAACATGCCTAATTCGCCCAGCTGCACCTTTCTCTTTCCCTTCTTCTTACGGCCGGAAGGCCCTCGAGTGGGGGCATCGTAGATGTGATCGTTAAATCCGGACTCGGCATCATGTTTCGGTCGATCCTGTAGGAGGATGGCATCTGTAGAGCCTGGGTTTCGGCTTTGGTTTGGGGACTCTGCCTGGGCCCCGAAGTACCCAGTATCCTGCTGGTAGTAGCCCTGCTGGTGGGACGACATGTCATTTGGCGTGGAAATCAAATCCTGCCTCGAGCTGGAGTTTGCAGGGTATGCGTTATCATCGAAGACGGTAGCGAACGGCGATTGCGTGGCGCTACGAGCCGGCAGATCCTGATGGCTGTTGCTGGAATAAGGAGCAGCGCCAGGCGGAGGGTAGTTCGAGTGGTAGGACGGTGCAGGTGTCGCTTGCGGCGAGGGCGCGTCGTGCTGGCCGAAATTCGATAACGGCGAAGGAGACTGATGATTCCGAAGCGGCGGCAGATGCTGCTGGTCGTAGTTGTAGTATTGATTACTGGCCATGATTACGCGCGTGGCTCGAAGCCAAGGAAGCCGGAAATGTGGGTTAGATCCGATGTCTTGCAAAAGTCCTCCAGGACGGGTGCTGCGAGAACAAGCCGAGAAGGATCGAGGAAATGAAGAAAGAAAGAAAAAAAATGAGATTAGGACGACTAGAATAGTTATGATTCGATTTTGCGAATGTCAGATGCAGCGCACAAGAATGGCTGAGCTGAGCCTCTTCACTAGTCGTCAGGAATGCTTGCTTCTAATCTGAAACATGAAAACGTCAGTCAACCACCCCAGGAGCTATGATTTGCTGACGGGCAGCTATGGAGCGAATATCGACTGCAGACTAACCGCTAGTGGTGCTGGACGACAGCTGGGGCGTCAATAATACAGCGAGCGAAAAGGGGGAGCGTTCGATAACGCGGTTTCCCTATGACGGACGAAAAAGCGAGAGAATGAAAAGCAATGTCGAGAAAAGAAAGACAGTCGGTAGAAGAATCCAGATCGATGTTCCCGCGAACAATAACACCACGGGTAAACCTAAATTCAAGCTGCGATGATCAACAGTAAATGGCGCCCGAAACAAACAGTTACGTAGGCAGGCTCGTATTGCAGTGGGTTGAGGTGGGGCTTCACGGCTTGTTATTCGTCAGCCACAGCAGTTTTAGCCCGCTGTGGCCTAAGGCAATAAGGGTCTGCTGCATCTCAGCCGCTTGCTGCTCCCACCAGCCTCAGGGTGTTCTAACTTTGGAAACACTCAACGGGTGCGGAGCGGCTGACATTACGTAGGCAAGGCACAGCCATTCACGATTATGTCATCTGCCTTGGGCTCGACAGAGGCAAGTGGGTGACAAGAGAAATGAGACATCTAATGGAAGAGTTGGTTATTAATCGACTACTTTCTGCAAGAAATAGAGAATTTTAGTAGCATCAAATAGAAGAAAGGAAGAATAACTACAGTATTGTATATTTCTAGGACTTAATAGTTCCGATAATACTGGTCGCACACTTGAGAATAAGCAGCGTGATGTTTGACTGTCTCAATTTCAATGTCACCCACTTGAGGGTGATGAGAGAATTGTGGGCAAAATATTTGGCCCCTCCACTGGTTCAGCGCTTGAATTTAATCCACAGCTGCGGCAGAGTGGCTAGGTTGGCTACGTCGAGGCACGGCTGGGGTTCACAGCCTCAAAAGTAGTCGTAATCACATGCGAAGACAAGCCATCCGAACCAAATTCTTCGTCGTGTAATCTTAGGACGCATCCCACTATGTGGCTCCGGGTCAATACCGGGAGCTTTCTTAAAATACCCACACCGTCATTAGATATTCATCATAAAACGCGGGGCACCCAAAAACCCCCCGTGATATCGATCTAATTTTCTTTGATTATTGCGTTGTATTCATGTGTTCTTACCTGAGGATGCACAGTCACCGCATCAATTCGGTCCCTGCATGTAGATACTGTGCAGGGATGGTGGGTTGATGTTACGTACGTCACTCGATTGTTGTTGAACCGACGAGGCAGCGTAGTGTTGTCACATTATACCGATACATTTCTTTTTTTCTGCTCTTCTTCATCACGCCCCTCCTCTTTTTAACCAGTTTTTTCCTTTTCACAGTATTCCGTAAAATTACATTCGGGCAGTGACTCATTGTCTCAATTGCCAGCATCCACAAGATATGAACCTGCCCTTGCTGAGGCTTGGAATCGGATATTTGCCACCAGCGGAGGAAGCTAGACCAATGCTTCATGGTACCCATAAAAGGAGCACACTCCATGTACTGTTCGGTACGTTAGAACAGAATAGTATGTAGAGCCGGTAGTTCAACATAGGCTCCAGGTATTTTATAATACAGGTGTTATACAGCCGTGTCATCCGGCATGAGGTGACGGACCAGAACAGGGTCCCGCCGTTCGGTCAGTCCGTCACTCTTACTTCTTCTCAGAAGCCGGAGCCTGGATTGGTTCGCTATCAGTCTTCTTTGGCTGAGGCTTCCAGGTGCCACTCCAAACGTCCGAAATCTGGTCTATGATGATGCCGTAGAGACCTTTGCCCTCCTCCAGGCTCTTCTGGTGCTCCTCGGCCCGTTTTTGCTGCCAATCAGCGTCTTGACCGCCCATCCAGACATCCTCCACGGCCTTGGCCAGCCCGCTCTTCTGTTGAGCCTCGCTTCCCTGCGTTCCCTTGAGCGCTGCTTCCCGCTGGCGATGCTCTTGTAATAGCTGTCGAGTCTTCTTTGCTTCGGCGGGCAGACCCACGTCAAACAAGGGACTGATGCGATTTTGAAATCGTGTGTAGATTGAAGTACCAGTATACGCATAGGCGAGGTAGTTCGTAGAGAGGGAGAAGGTGCCAACGAGGACGAAGAAGCGGAGGTCAACTTTTCGGGGAGGGAGCAGCATCGCAAGGGGAGCGATGACAGCACCGGCTATCGCACCATTGTGGATAAAGGCGAAGCGCTCAGGGAGCGGTCTGTCGGTAGATTCGACGGACATTGTATCAGGCGCAGGATGCACACGCAACGTGAAACTGAAGGAGTGTGTACATAACATGCGAGCGGCCTAAATTTGGAAGCCATCATCAAAAAGTTGCGAGCCGTCGTCGTCGGCAGTGCGGATTAACGTTAACCCTAGTCCATAAATAGCTTTGGTGGGGTAGCGCCAAATCAACGATCGGAGGGTTTTGCGGACTGGGACCAATCAAACCTACCGGTTTCCCGAGCTGTCAATCGCCTAGTGAAACAGATATCAAAACCTGGGCTTCGGGATGTGCCACCAACCACTCGAGGACATGGACTCAAGCCTAGGCAGGGGATCGTGGCCAGGGGCACCCCAACGAATAATACGTTTATCCAGACTTCGAGATTGATAGCCCCCGGGGTGTGATTTTTGTGTACAGACTGGGACAGCTGCCCGAGGGAACGGCCGCCTTGTGGGATGGGGTGGTCCCGCCAGGATGGAACTGTGTCATGGACCAATTCCTGGGAATCGAAAGGAGGGTTATATCCGGAGTTGATTTGCCCTGTGCAGAAGGTACCTAATTAATTAATTAACCATCTGGTCCGTCCCTGCGGGACAAGACAGCAAAGATCCCCAGGTACCGAAGGCGGGTTCGATCGGCCTGTAAATTGCCATCGAAAGGATCAGAGGTCCTTCTGTACGGCATGTCCGGTCAGTTCATGTGCTACGGGGCGGCTGTAATTGTAGCCGGCGGGATTTGGACCATGTTCGGACACGAAAGGATTTTGGCTAGCATTCAGCCTTGCACTAATTGTCTGGGCCAGGAGGAGACAGAGCCAGCACCAAAAGAGACGCACTACTTGCGGTAGCAGCTTCCGATCTGTAAACCCAGCCCAGAAGCAGATGTCAGCACTCGATGCGAAAACTGGAGAGTAAGCACAACGTCGACGGCCCTGTATAAGGCTGTTGGCGACTCCCGGATGCCACATGGTCAGCAGTCAGCAGCCGTTTGAACTCTCCCAGGTCCACGGAAGTCGCCCCAACTGCCGACCCGGCTAGGAGTCTGGCTCTGGCCCTACCAGGGGCCCTCTCAACTGGTTAGCTCGGCAAACGATCCTGTCTCGTCTCAGGCGTGTCCACCTGCCAAGCTTCTTCTGAATCCTTGGTGTCATGTCGTCCTCGTGGCCGCTGGCCGCCCTAAAACGCACGACCCTGCCAGCCGGTCACTAGGGCCTGCTTCCGTGAGGGCGGGCACCCGCTGCCCCAGTCGGCCGCCCAAGTAGGGAGGTAGGCTCGGACGGTGAAGGGTGGGCTCGCTGGAGGGATTGCGCTCTCGCTGGGGCCACCGCGGCTCCCAAGAGGCGCGTGCGGGCTGCGGTTGAAGGATGGTTATGGTTGCTGCTAGGCCGTCGGCGGATTACCAAGCACGGCCTCAGCCAGGGAACTCCGCGGGCTGCCTCGCCGAATACCTAGACCTGGGCCAAGGCCTGCCTAACGCCTGGCGAGAAAACAGGCATCCCGAGTGCGAGGGCGCCGTTGATCGAGCAAGGGTGGCACTCCGCTGCCCAGGTTCTTAGCCTTCCGCTGCCTATGCCAATAGTCGGGGTGTGTTAAGGCAATCTGGATACACGACTAGTGCATGGTGCTTCATCTCGTTACCCAACGCAAACCCGCCGTGCTGCCTGGCCGCCCTCTCCCTACGATCCAGATGATCTGTGGTTGATTTTCCATCCTCAGTAAGGTGTGTCTTCCTTCCATTGAGCGACCGCTACCGGCTGTCGCCTGCAGAAACGCTTCTCCATGTTTCTTGTATCAGAAGGGAATCCTAGCCCTCATTCGGTACCGTCACCGTCAACCTTAACCGACGTACTAATGACACGGCACTCACACAGACCAACTTCATCGCTGGGGACAGCACCTATTGTATCGTGACCCTCAACCCCATATAAGCAGTCTGCAACTTCCCACTTTCTCCCGTTGCTCATAGCCTGCCTTCTTTGTTTATATGCATGCGCGTCTGACATCTGAACCAGAACTCCACCTCTGCCTTACCACTCAACACCATGGCTGCCCCCAGCCAGTTCCCGCTGACTAACCCGCCCTCGGAGGAGGACTTGCCCATCAGATCAGCATCGACAACTCCAACGGGGGGCGAGAGATCAAGTCGAAGGAGTAGACCCAAGGTGAAGACGGGATGCAGTAGTTGCAAGTGAGACTTCCCCGCACATCTATACTCCAACCCCAGGTAAACCGTTCAGTTAACTAACCACAACTTGTCTTACACAGACAGAGAAGGATAAAGTGCGATGAGAAGCGTCCGGCATGTTCCCAATGCATCAAGAGCCGGAGAGAATGCACAGGCTACCCCCCACCCCCTCGACACGCCTTGCCATTAGAAGGCGTTCGCATAGCTCCCAAACCTGTGGCTATTGCTGCCGAACCAGTTGCTCCAGCAGCTCCAAAGACTGGCCCAATTCAGAAGTATGTTATCTTACCACCTCGTCGTGTTGCTCGACGGAATCAGGCTAGATCGACTCCTGAACACTACGGCGC